TTTTTGAGGGACTGTCTGTGGGCACCACGGCCGCATGGGGTGCTGGCCCTGACGCATCTGCGCATACATGAGCCTCATGTGCCGGCAGCCGCTGCGAGGTTGTTGCGAGAAGCCTGTGTGCGTGTGGCTGATTTTTGTCCCACCCACAGGGCGCGGCAGGCACTGCGGCCATGATGCTTGGTGTGTGTGGGTCGCCGGGTAGCTGTGCGAGGCTCCTCTGGAGGAGGATACGGCGACGCCACTGATGGGGCAGCGTGTGCGTTCCCGCCCACACCCTCTCTGTCCGCTGCTGCTGCTCATGGCGGCCATACGTGCGGCTGAACGCGAGGCTTGGGCGCGGCTGTTTGCTTGCGGAGGGACCTGTGCGGGTGCTGTTGTGGTTCGAAAGTGTGCGTGGCTGTTGGTGTGGCTCAGCAGGCTGTGTAGGTTTACTTCTCTTTGGTTTTTTTTGTTGTGGTGTATGTTTTCTTTTGGTGAATATGCACATGGGGAAAGGTTTCTTTTTGGTTTGTCGTGTTTGTGTGCGTTGTGCTGTGGGTACGTGTGCTAGTGGCCTTGAATATAGGGACGTCTTGGCTGGGCCGCCATTGCTTTGAGGAGTGGAACGTGTTTGTGTGGGGCTGAGGTGTGGGAGGTCTCGACGGGTGCGCATGTATGGTTGTGGTTTTTTGACGGGTGACACGCAGAGATGCACCTGAGTGCGCCTGTTGCTGCTGACGTGTTGCGGTTTCTAAAGTAGAATTCGTACTTTGGGCGGTTGAGGGTGCGTTGCTGCACGATACGTGGCCGTTGCCATTCCTCAGGTCTGTCGCAGGGTGAGCTTCAGGTGGAGGCAAACGACAATGCTTACTTCCCACAGAGACTCCCTGCTATTGCCGAGCTGTCTTCTAGTGGCTGGCGCGGGGCGCTGTTGGTTGCGGCGCAGTGGTAGCAATCGTTTACCTACAGTCTTCATGCGCTGAGCCTCCGAAACTCCACCCCGACCTAGACTCTGTTGTGCGTGTTTTGCTATCCCTATTGATCCACGTCGTGAATTACATANTATATATATATATATATATGGATGTCTCCCTGTGGTCACCGGGCTTGATGGGTGTGCCAAACGGCTCCTTATATATATTCTTTTTTTGTTGCTGTCATCGTGGACCAGCGTGATGAGAGCCTGCGAAACGAGTGATCATGACTTGCCTATTGCTTTATGAAAACGGTAACGAACTTTTTAAATGATTATAGAATTTGACCGAATATCTTCCATAGACCTTGCTGCGTCGCATTTTCTTCCAGTCAATGGCGTGTGGCTAAGCGTAAGTTCTGAAAATACTCACCTGTCTAACCCAACCTTCTACGCCTCCCGCGCGGAGACGGGTTATGGGCGCTTTCGGTACCTCCTTTTCGTCAATTCTAAGCATGTGGCTTCCCTGTGACTAGTCAGAGGCCTTTCCTTGAGTATCATACCCGTGGGGAGCTTTGATATTACTGTCGCAATGGAATCTTGATTCATGAAATGACGCTTGCTTTTCATATCTCTCTCTCTCTCTCTCTGCTCTACGGATGCAAAGACACTACATAGACTGTCCTGAGTTGTACTCTCAAGTTATCAAAATATGTTGCTTGAAAGAACTTTTCTCAAACCTGAGGGCCGCCATGTCCACGAGTGTGCGGAGGCTCTCGATCCCTCCTGGCGGCTACGTGGGGATACTAAGCCGAGCGTGAGGCCGGAGTGTGATGCCACTCGATGCCATTCTCATTCTATCCGCGCAGGATTGGGGAATGCGCGGCCTGTAAGGCAAGCACTTGACCGTACTGTGGAGGAGGTGCTGCTGGATGGTGTGCACTTCTCGACTGGTATGCTGCTGAATGATCTTCTTCGGACGCAATTGGGTGGCCGGGGCGTTGACGTGGCCAACAAGAATGTCACAATGGAGACATTTTTCCTTGATCCAAACATGTTCATCACTGATCAGAGGCTGGTAAATATGCTATTTAGACTGCAGATTTGCCAGGGGACCCTCATGCGGAACGAGGCAGGGCTGCTGCGTTTCCAAGGCGTTTACACTCTTCGTCAGTGGCGAAACTTTGTCAGGAAGGATGAGATAAGATTGCTGGTGCGAGGTAGACTGGATTTGGCCCTGGCTGCCTTGCAGATGCAGGAGGAGGATGAGGCGCAACGAGCACGAATAACGTTGAAAAAAGAGGACTGCTTGCAACAATTAGGGGAGAGAGATGGACCTCGAGAAAAGGAAAAAAAAAATGCGACAAACCAGAAAGAACCGTCCATGAGGTGGCTTGCACTCAAGAGAGCGCGATCTCTCTCCCGCTGCGAAATGATGTGGTGCTGGAAGACATATACGGTGCCATATACAACGCAAAATGGAGTCATGTCATGGAAACCATTGGAGATGAGGGTGAGACTGTGATGATGGTGAAGAGTGGCATCCCGCCTCAGAAGTGGACAAGGAAGGAGCTTGACGAGCTTCGCGCAGAGGATGCCGATGCCGAACTGCCTCAGGTGCAACGCCTCGCGTTGATGGTGCTCACCTACCCGAAGGGGTGGCCCCACACGTGGTCTGCGGAGGGAGCTGAGCACGATTGCTGCATTGGCACAGGTGTAGAGAAGGCATGGCGGAGTACCCTGGGCTGCGTGGACAGGTGGCTGAGTGGTTTTGAGAGTCCAATAAAGGATCCGACACTACGAATATTAATTGAAACTGTAGCGATTGACAAAGGTCTATCCGTCGCTCTCTATATCCTCCATGGTCTGCTGCGCCACACGACACAAAAAATCGGGGTGATTATTTTCTTCGTTTGGGGAAAGGTATATGCGTTTGATAAGCAAAGGAGGACTGTGGCACACTATCAAGGAGAGGAGGAGGCGGTACTGGCCATTCAAGATTTTTCAAGGAGCGTGAGGGGGTGCGTTATTGATGTCTCTCCCAAGAGCAGGAGTGAGTTACTATACCACGTGCCTGAGTGTTGGGGTATTGTTGCGGTGCGACCTCCCGGGTTCGTCTTGGAAGTGAATAAACAATATGCAGAAACACGCATCAAAGTTGGCAAATTCACCAAACGCGAGTGGAGGGCTGCGAGCAGCTGGGTTTTACACCATGGTTTGCCAGAGAAAGAGCTACATCACCGGTCGAAAATTGAGCAGCATCTCAAGGAGAGGGGATTGCTTCCCCGCATTTCGCTCGAAGAGGCCAGGCGCCCTGAGAGCTGCACTGAACTACTGCCTGAGGTTTTAAGTGGCGGTGCTCAGGTGCTCGTGCCTGCCGGAAGAGCTGCCGGAGGGAAGCAGGTTGGCGATGCTTCCAAGAAGTCCGTGAAGGATTCCTGGATGCGGGGGGGCCATTCGGATGGCTGCCGGCAAGAAATACTTTCATCTACACGCATGAATAAAGTTTCTGCTCAAGCGGTGCCGCAGTTATTGCCACGCTTAGCTTCAGCCCCGAAGCCGATACCTGGGGAATTTCCAGATTCGAAGACTCTGGAAAAAAAACTTTACCTCGCATTCATGAATTACGATTTCATGAGGCGGGCAGTTGCTATGCTGAAGCCCATTAAACCGCATGGAAATCGGACTGAGAGGCAAAGTGTACTCCAAGCGGAAAATTTTTCCTACCCCAGTGATGGGCGAGAAGAACTCCCAAATACCGCGCCAACAAGCCAACGCTCGGTCCGGTACAGGTGCTTATACTACCCGTTGTCCCCGAATTTCCCGTTGGTCGATGCATTTTTTTTTGCCAGGGTCGGAAGTAAAAGGACCATCGTTTGCCTGCAGGTGACATCAGCCAAAGCACATCACACGAAGCCCAGTACAGTTGCGCAGTTCACTGAATACATGAAGTCGTACTTCAACGGTTGGAAGCTGTATTCTAGTGCATTATCGTGGGAAATCATTTACGTGCAATACGGTTGTGCTAAAGTAATAACTACATGGCAGAAATGCATTACCGGTGGTGAAAATTCCCCAAAGAAACACCAAAAAGTTATTGGTTTTTGGAATAACAATATTTACCAGTACCAACTGAGCGTATCACCAGATATGCTCTCTACGGTGCTTCATGCCCCGGAGATGAGAGATACGGCGGGACGGTGCAAGAAGAAGGCGCAGTAATTGTTCTCCCCCCGATATGCTTCCTGGAGTCCGCGATGTCAGTGTGCACTGAGATGGCTACGGCACGACGTGTAAAGTCTCTCCCCCCCCCCACCACAAGGGAAATTACTGGGCTGCAGCAGGGCTGATGGGGACTTCTAGTGATACATTTTCGCTTTTTTCTTATATTGTTTAAAAAGCAAATATTCTGTGCTTTACTGATGCGGTTACTGACGTGCCGCACGAGAAGCAGTTATTAAAATCGTTGCGGTGGTTGTGCAGGAACAGCCACAACTTTATACTTTGCGCCATCATTGCGTGTTTATGCGATCATGACCGTGTTGGTGGTTGCTGGCTGTGTCGGGGAGGGGGGCCCTGAGGCGGCATTGAGCTTTGCTTCGGCGCACGCGATGCGGCATACCGAGGTGTGCGTGCCCGGGAATGGTGCGCTGGGCATCTCTTTAATTTTTATTCTGATCTCTTCCTTCATTGTTGCGAAACACTCAATAATGGTGCTTCAATTTCGAGTGTGTGAAAACGAAAAACAAAAAAAAAGTAGATATACAACAGTGAATATAACAGTTTTAACGTAGCGTGTGCTTTTGAGCGCTTTTATTGTAATTCGGTGAGTAGGGGACGTGCCTCATCGCTGCTCTCGCCATACTGCTTGCGCCCGGGGGTTGCGCTTCTGCAGCTTAAACCTTTGCGGCCTGTCTGGGCTCGGCACCATGTGCGCATCTGCTTGCTGGGAAATGTTTACTCTGTGTGGTATTTGATAACTGTGGGCTATGAGTGGTCATCATCATGATTCGTGTTTAGCTTTCTTTGGGAGGATGCCCGCCAGTGTGTGTGTGTGTGTGTGTGCGTGTGAGAGTGGTGCGTGTGTTGGAGGGCCACTGTTCCTCTGGTAGTGCGCATGTAGTCTTTTTCTTTCCGTCTGCGTCTCTGTCGACCACGTCGACGTGTGTCTGGTAGACCAAGAGAAGGCTACCGAAACACAATGTGCAGCTGCTCCTTCTTCAGATTGAATCTGGCGTCTGGCGCTTGCGTCAGCATAGTTGTTGTTGTTAATTCTTCTTGTGGCGGCGGTGGCTGCATGCGCCTTGTCCACTGAGCTGCTGTTCCATGTGCGGCTGCCTGTCAATGGGAATCAAGACCTGACAAGATCATCAAAACTTTTGTATCAACAACGAGAGAGATTTATACTCATGTGTGGTATACCTACCAACGGAGTCACATGGAGCTAGAGCATTCATCCCTTTCGGAGAAGGGGTGAATATGCCAGTGGTGCGCACACAAGAGATAAAGTTGGATCCTAGTATTGCTCCTTGTTTCATTGGGCATACATGTGATCTACTGCTGTTTGCTTTCTCTTCGCTCGGGCGCGCGAGGCGGATTTCAGTATCGACTGGGGCGGGAGGAAGGAAGAGAAGGAATAGACGAACGTTCTCAGTTGTAGAAAGTGAGGACGGTACCACATTCTTTGTACCAACTGTTTAATCTTTTCTGCATTCACTAGTTACCTGTTTTCTTTACTGTGTCGCAGAGCAGCGTGGTGGCGGGGATGTGGCCGGTAGAGCTCTTGGTTGTGCTGCGAGCGCTGTGCTTGTTCTCCTCGTATCCGCCCCATCTTCCTCGCGGTTTGCTCACCTTGGGCGCACCTGTGGTGGCATTCTGCTGTGGAACACCGTGCTCGGATGCGCCCAGTGGGGAAGGGGCACCGTTCGCCGCAGACGCACGGGACTCTTGATGTAACACGGTGGCGCAACAGGCCCCCATCTCTGGCTACCTTTTTGTCAGAATTGCTCTCTGAGGGGCTTACCGTTCACAAGAGGGTGATTGTAAATA